GGGACTCCAGGATCATGACCTGAGCCGAAGGCAGTCGCTTAACCAACTGAGCCACCCAGACGCCCGAGAATCTTAAAACCTTAAGCAAACTCCACGCTGAGTGCAGAGCCCGACTCAGAACTCAACCTCGCAGCCCACGAGATCATGACCTGAGCCGAGGGCAGTCGCTTAACCAACTGAGCCACCCAGGCGCCCTGTTTTTTTTTTTTTTAAAGAGTTCTTACATGAGAGCAATACATTCTTTTTTGTTTTCCAAGTAAACTCGACCCCCAATGTGGGGCTGGAAGTCATGACCTTGAGATCAAGAGTCCCTGACCTTGAGATCAACAGTCTCGTCCTCCACGGACTGAGCCAGCCAGGTGCCCCTGAGTGACACATTCTTGCGCATTTAGCAAGGGAATGATAATAGGGCCTAGGATTTGCCCCGGTAATTCAGTGGGGGAGGGTGGAGATGAGCGGGTCAGGTGACGGGTCAGGTGAAGCAGGCTGTCTGTCTGTCCTTTGTCCGTCTGCCTGGGTGATTGCTGCAGAAAGGTGGTGGGTCCCTGGAGGCTCATTGTAATAGTCTCTCTGCTTCTGTGATGCTTTTAAGTTTCATAATGAAGTGTTTAAAGAAAGGATTAGAGACACCGGGTAGTAAAATCACAAAAATGCAAGAAAAAAATAAAGTTGGAAAGAAAGATAAAAGACTCTTCAGAGAAGAAGGGGAGGTATTTATCTGCTATAACACAGTCACTGCATTTCAGTCCTCGATTCGGCTCAGATTCCTGCTCCCCCGTGAGGCGGGTGGTCCCTGTTTACTTGTAAAACACTCTTTTTTTAGACTCTCAGGCATGCAGACTCTGAGATGGGAGGAAGGGGGTAGGAATGTTGAAAATCTACCCAAAGAAAAACGCCGTCCCCTGAGGCAATTTCATCCTTCCTTTCTTCCTTTCTCTTTCTCTTTCTTTTCTTTCTTTCTTCTTTCTTTCTTTTTCTTTCTTTCTTTTTCTTCTTTCTTTCTTTCTTTTTCTTCTTCCTTCCTTCCTTCCTTCCTTTCTCTTTCTCTTTCTTTTCTTTCTTTCCTTCTTTCTTTCTCTTTCTTTCTTTCTTTTTCTTCTTTCTTTCTTTCTTTCCTTTCTTTCTTTTTTCTTTCTTTCTTTCTTTTTCTTCTTTCTTTCTTCCTTCCTTCCTTTCTTCCTTTCTCTTTCTCTTTCTTTTTCTTTCCTTCTTTCTTTTTCTTTTTTCTTTCTTTCTTTCTTTTTCTTCTTTCTTTCTTCTTTCTTTCTCTCTTTCTTTTTCTTCTTTCTTTCTTCCTTCCTTCCTTTCTTCCTTTCTCTTTCTCTTTCTTTTCTTTCCTTCTTTCTTTTTCTTTTTTCTTTCTTTCTTTCTTTTTCTTTCTTTCTTTCTTTCTCTCTCTCTTTCTTTCTTTTTCTTTCTTTCTTTCTCTCTCTCTTTCTTTCTTTCTTTTTCTTTCTTTCTTTCTCTCTTTCTTTCTTTTTTCTTTCTTTTTCTTCTTTCTTTCCTTTCTTTCTTCTTTCTCTTCCTTCCTCCCTCCCTCCCTCTCTCTCTCTCTTTCTTTCTCTCTTCCCTCCTTCCTCCCTCCCTTTCTTCTTGTCTTTGGGGGTGGGGGCTGTGCTGGGGGGAGGCTGACACAGCACAGGAAGGCGGAAAAGCTGCACATGGGTGGTCCTCAGGATCACACGTCCCTGCAGGTACAACCCCCCAGTAGGACCAGCTGCGTGCACATAGTCTGCGGCACACAAAGCCATTTTCACATCCCGGACACCCTCCTCCAGAAACAGGGCTTTGTTATTGCGCACACAATGCCATCTTCTGGCCGCGACACACAGAAGCGATGGATTGTCTGATGAGCAGGTGCGGAGGAGGGAACGGACCTTGAGACACTGTTCTTCAGTCGATTGCAGGGAACTGTAAGTCTCCCTCTCCCACCCTGTGCACATCTTAACCAGCCTGTGAGAGGACCAAAAACCAAATGCCAAAATCCCCATCATACAAAAGGCACCAAAAGAGGGAATTCGGAAGGTGGCGTCTTTCTTTCACACATTTGCTCCATTTGTGTATTTACTTGGACCACGTTTGCCAGGAATGCATTTTTCAGTGATGTTCCTTGTCTAATAAAACACCACAAATACATCCACTGAGGTATCCACTGTAGTGGGATTTGGTCATTTTGATCATTTTGGTCATTCCTTAGGAATCGTGCCTTTGTTTATGACAAACCAGGGGACATTCCAAAGCCAAACATGGAAGGAAGAAAGTCCACACTGACACTGGAATTAACCTTCAGGTTATTCACATCCCCTTCTAGTGGCAAAAAACAATCAGAAATGGATTATTTTGGGTTGTGCTGCTTCTATTTCTCAGCTTTTTTACTTTGGTTTTTATTTTATTTAAAAATTTTTTTTGTTTATGCTTTCTCTATGTGTGCTCACAAATGTACTTATTTTCAGCTCTTTTCTATTAACTCATACACATGGCCCTATAATTCTGGTGTCTCCTCTGGCTGGATCACACTCCATCCTCCCTCCTGTCCCTCCTCCCCCAGAGTGAACCACAGTCACTTAACTGTCTTATGGGATCCTTTCATATTTTACTGCAGTGTCTCTGCATGTACACCTGCATCCAGGAACATGAAGTCCCATGCTTGTTCCCTACATCCAACAGCCCCTCACACAGTGCCCCCCAGCCGTGGGGCACAGCCCTAAGACAACCTATCAGGGTTTGGGTAACAGTGCAGATTCCATCATTTCCCTGCTCCTGGCATTGGCTTTGATCCAGCTTCCTCCCCACCCGGACAGCCAGACACGGGAGTGGGATGTTTGGGCTGTACGGGTCGCATCTCGAGGAGGGAGTGATGAAAGTCTCAGAGGGAGGTCTTCCCCCGCAGACACTCACCTTCCACTCTCAGTTCCATTGCCGCCTCCTCCTGGTAGGAATGATCCCGGAAGAAGCAGGTGAAACCTCCTTCATCTGCGAACCTCACATTCCGGATCCTGAGGGTCACCTTCCCCTCGCCCATGGTTTCTTTCAGCAGCTCGGTCCGCCCCCGATATTCGGGTGCCTGCTCTGCATCTTGGTCCTTGCCATTTCGGTACAGATGGACCACCCTGGAGAAGGGCGGCCGGTACCAGCCCACCTCCATGCCTGTGGCGTTCTTCCCGGGATAGATATGACACGGCAGCTCTGCTTCATCCCCCACCAGCGCCCGGATGGGGTGGCCTGGCCCTATTACTCTGAACTGTCCTGTCCGAGACACCAGAGAAAAGAAACCGAGAGTCACAGGGCCTTGACACACAAGCATGTCCCGGGAAGGGCTGCTTCCTAACAGTGAAGGAAGAAGACACTGATGTTTACATGGCGTTCTGGAACGGGAGGAGAGAGACCCCCAGTTGTAGAGGGGCCGCGAGTGCCCTGGGAGGAATGTTCTAGCATGTGGTCACTCAGCAGGGCTGCTCACGCTTCCGCCTTCTGTATCCATCTCTGACTCTGCAGCCCAGCCTCTAGGTCCCATCGTGGGATGTGGTCTGGCATCCTGCAGTTTAATTCTTGGGATGGGGGCCCCCTGTCTGAACCTAACCAAGCTGCTCCCTACTTTCCCCTGGTGGGTTTGCTTTTGTCCTTGTTCACACCCTGTTCTGAGGAGGGGAGCCCTTTGAGCACACCCATGTTTTGGACAGATAACATGCAAGACAAGCTGAGGATGAATTGAAGGAGGTGAACCCAGGGAAACTGGCCTTTCTGTCGTCAGGGTCTCCCCAGGGCAGAAATAAAGATAAATCTTACCTGCAGAGCTGCAAGACAGCTGGAGGAGGAGGAGGAGGGAGGGAAGGCAGCTGGGCAAAGAGGACCTCAATAAACTAGCCATCTCCACTGGGACTGGGGACAGAGCGGCCCTGCAGCAGGGTCAGGCCGAGCGGAGGCCCTCGGGGTGCATGTCCCCTACCTCTGACAAAGCCTGAGGGGAGGATCTGGGAGGGCAGCCTCCTGCGAGCTGCGCTGCAGCTGTGCTCCCAGGAAGGGCCGGGTCATCCCTGCCAGGCACTTACACAAAAGGGCTACTGACCCAGGGGATGACCAGGGTTTGCCGTCCCCACCCCCTCAAAGCTGCGGAGCGGAGGCTGCCTGGTACTGCCCCCCACAGCCGCTCCGGGCAGCCCAGCATTCCTGGGGCTTCTGGGGGCGAGCACTGCCTGGGCCCCGGGAAAGGCTGTCGTGTGGTCTGTGAGGTTCCTTCGACCCCTCTCTTCCTGCTGTCCACCAAGGGGGAGGAATTACTGTGGGTTTTAGAAAAGGGAAGGCAGGCATTCTCCCTGACCTCTAACTTCCCTCTCCGATGCACGGCCAAACTCCCTTCCTTATGTTCAGACGTGTGCTGGATCGCTTGGGCGTCGTCAGCTTCCCGTTCCCAGAGAATACGTTTGGGAAAGGCGGGAGCTAAGCACTGCTTGTGCTCAGAGAGGCCAACACGGAGGAGGGGGGTTCATGGAGGTCGGTGGCCGGTGGGCAGCATGGCCGTCAGGGAGCTTCCCCCAGCCTTGGCGTCAGGATCTGACTTCCTCACTGTCACAGGGAGAAGTGAGACCTGGAATGGAAATAGGACCTCTTCCCTGCCCTCAGACTCAGCGGATCCCTGAGGAGTAAGACCAGTAGCATCACTGATGGGGAGAACAAAGGCAAAGGGAAAAAAAATTAAACTTTCTTTCTGCCTACAGCCCACTGACAAGTCCTTGAAACAGGCAGAGTGACCTTCCTCTGGGAGCTCAGCTGCCTCAATGTTAATACCCTGATGAGGGCAAAAGGCCAACCATAGCTTAACATCATCCCGACCCCCAGGATTCTGTAGGTCTACTCTAACATATAAAAATTCCTTTGGAAACTTCCTTTATCTCTAACCCCCGCAAGATACGTGTTGGCAATCATCCCCCAAGCACATGACCCCCTGATATATATCTGAAGGGTCTCATGACAGGTTTTATTAGACGGTAATAAATGACTTTTTCCCAACAACAGCTAGCCCCCTCAAGGTCCTGGAAACCTTGCTCCCAAATTCCTTAGAGACTTACACTCCCCCCTAACCCCCTCCCAACTTGAAAGTATACAATGGGCCCCTTCTCATGATCCCAGCGTGGCTCTTTCTGCCCACGGGTCCTGTCCCTGTGCTTTAATAAAACCACCTTTTTGCATCAAAGACATCTCAAGAATTCTTTCTTGGCTGTTTGCTCTTGAACCCCAACATTTTCACATCGATCACCAAATTTGAAAAACATATCTGCCAATCTTCAAGCAAGGCTGTCTCACAAATAAAAAAAAAGGGTCAGGAAGGAGAGTTTAAAGCCATGTTGTCCAACACAGTAGTCACTAAGCCACAGTGGTCATTCAAGTTAAAATTAAGTAAGATTTAAAATTCAGTTCCTTGATTCACCAGCCATGTTTCAAGTGCTCGGCAGCACATGCAGCTAGTGGGTAACACACAGGACGGCACGGATGTAGACCATTTTCATCATCACAGAAAGTTATATTGGGCAGCACTGTTGAAGGGCTAGGACCTCGACTGCGGTGTACAATTTCTGCTTTTGTCCGAGATGAGCCCAAGGAGCTGGGAGAACAGACTGGTCAGCTGAGCCTGGAGTGTCTTGTTCCTCCTTCCTGCAAGGCAGCTGGAGTTGGGCACATGCAGGCTGGCCTGGAACTGTGAGGGTGAACATCAAGGTCGGCAGGGGTCAATCAGGTGGGAGGGGCAGGCTCTGTGCTTGCCTGACTGTCTCCCCAGGGGGGAGTCTTTCCTTCCAGAACCTGAAATATCCTGCGATGTTCTTCCTCCATGATGCACATGCAGGGGGGAGAGTTATGCACAAGATACTTCCCTGGGCGGGGCTTGAAATTGTCCAGCACCGTGTGGTTGTCAAAGCTGGATGGGAGATCAGGTGGAGTGCAGCGCTGGGAGAGCAGATGGTCAACAGCTCGCCAATCAGGGGCACCTGGGAGGCTCAGTCGGTTAAGTGGATGCCTTCGGCTCAGGTCATGATCCCAGGGTCCTGGGATCGAGTCCAGCATCGGGCTCCCTGCTCAGCAGAGAGTCTGCTTCTCCCTCTCCCTCTGCTGCTCCCCCTGCTTGTGTGCTCTCTCTCTCTGCTGAATAAATAAATAAAATCTTAAAAAAAGTTAGCCAATCAAAGCCATTTTGGAGAAAGCGCAGCGTCTCTGAGAACTAACGAACAAACACCAAAGAAACACCTTACTAAATGCTTCCCTATGGTGCTGTCCTAAGCGATTTGCTTGTATTAATTCATTTAATCCTTATAATAATAAGACAAATGTTAAACTATTACCATTCTTATTTTACAGATGAGGAAACTGAAGCACAAGAGTTAAGTAACGTGCTCCAGGTCACACCACCACAGAGTGGCAGGGTGGAATCTGAGCCAGGTTTTCTCTCCCCAAACTGGCGCTTGATCAGTGTAGTCCCCTCCTCAGACTCACCTTCAGGTCCTCTTCTGCCTCAGGTCTCTGGAAAGCAGGTGGACCCTGGAGCTGGGGGAGCTGTCCCAAGGACGACGGGATCTCTGTGCAAAGGTGATGTGAACAAGAGGAGGGGGCCGCCAGGAAAAAGAATTCGGTAGTGTCACCATTTACAGAACTCTGGGTATAGGAGTGCCAGGTTTTTGCTGGGCATGGAGATGAGGTACAGGAGTAGATGTGGTGAAGCTGCCCTGCGTTGGTCAGAGCTGGGCATTTCCCTTAGTGCTTAAGTGTTACTTTAACTGATTTTGTGTAGCATATGTTCTGTGATTTCACCGGCATCCTTGGGTTGTTCTTGTGTGTATTTCTCTCCTCAGTGAGTTCCACTTTATCTGCTCTTCTCACCATGTTTGATCGCAGCCCGGGGACACGGTCAAGCTGGCAGAATGGCATACCGTACACAACGACGGTGGAAGCACTCCGGAAGAGGTAGCTTACTCAGGTAGTAATGCAGTGAGAGTGCTGTGTAGCTCTCCCAGACACGGTGTTCAATACGTGTCTTACACAAAGGACGACAGACCCACTGTTCTGCTTCTTGTGTTCGCTTAACAAGGCGTCATTCCACAGGAACACATAATTTAGCTCTCTTGCGCTTCCAAAAATTAATTCTTTTTTTTAAAAAAAGATTTTATTTATTTATTTGATGGAGAGAAAGATAGCCAGGGAGGGAACACAAGCTGGGGGAGTGGGAGAGGGAGAAGCAGGCTCCCCGCTGAGCAGGGAGCCCGATGCGGGGCTCCATCCCAGGACCCCGGGACCATGACTTGAGCCGAAGGCAGATGCTTAACGACTGAGCCACCCAGCCCCCCCAACTTAATTCTTGTTTATTTCATCATTCATATGCTTTTGTTTCAAAATCTAAAAGGTATAAAATAATGTTCCTTGAAAACCTCCCTCCCAGCCACCCGGAGCCAACATATTTCTCTGAATCCTTCCACATATGTGCCACTGAAGGAGACTCCAGGAGAAATCACTCCCCTCATCTTGCATTTTTAAAAATATAAATGGTAATTTTTTTTAAAAGTAAACCCTACACTCAACATGGGGCTCAAATTCACAACTCCAAGATCAAGAGTAGCATGCCCTACCCACTGAGCCACCAGGTGCCCCATAAGTGGTAATAATTTATCTTAGAGACCTTTCCATATTAGTACCTAAAGAACATACCCATTATTTTATACAGCTACACAGTATTTTATTGCATGAATGTATCAAACTTACTTAACTAGTTTCCAAGAACATTTAGGTTGTTTCAATTTTTTAAGTGTCTATTTTACTGGCTTAAATAAAAATGTATTTAATTAATTTAAATTAATCAATATTTCATAGAAAATCTTATGTGTTAAGCTTTGTATTAGGTGTGGATAATAAAAGTTTCAGGAACACAGATAGGTTTTTGCCTTCATGTAAATTATATTCCTATTACATTACAGCTAGATACTTTTTTAAAAAAAGATTTTATTTATTTGAGAGAGAGAGAGAAAAAGCAGAAGCGGGGTGGGGGGCAGGAGTGGAGGGAGAGAGAGAGAAGCAGAACCCTCACTGAGCAGGGAGCCCGCCCCACTTGCCCCTGCAGGGCTCGATACCAGGACCCTGAAATCATGACCTGAGCCAAAGAGCTATATTCTAGTTATATGTCACCAAAGGGCACAAGTCACAGAGTATCAGGCCACCATTTTTATATAATGAAATGCTCTTACATATGATTTGCTAATGAATATTGGTCTGCTAGGGCCAGCTACATAAAGTGAGGGGCCCTGTACCAAGTGAAACTATGAGTCCCCTTGTCCAAATAGCAAGAAAGAAGCCTTTCCCTTCTTGTGTGTTCACTCTTGATCTGTCTTGGTGTCACGTTTTTGCTTTTGCTTTTTAATGTCACATTCCTTCAGGGACACAGATACTTGAGGTCCTGAGCCAGGCTTGTCTAGACAGGTGTGCATGCCTGACCCTTCCTTTCCCCTTTGCCCTGGTCCCTCCTGGGAAAACACTGTACAGAGGGTGGCGGTGTCTCCTTGGGGGGGTGTGGGAGGCAGCTGAAAACCAGTCCTGCAGATGCTGGGAGGCATGAACAGCAAGACCAAGCTTGAGCATGGGCTCCAAGCTCCTGGTGCAATCTCTTTGGACTTCACTTACAAAACACACATTGAAAGAAGAGACGGCGGGTGCCTGGGTGGCTCAGTTGGTTAAGCGACTGCCTTCGGCTCAGGTCATGATCCTGGAGTCCCGGGATCGAGTCCAGCATCGGGCTCCCTGCTCGGCGGGGGGTCTGCTTCTCCCTCTGACCCTCTGACCCTCTTCCCTCTGGTGCTCTCTGTCTCTCATTCTCTCTCTCTCAAATAAATAAATAAAATCTTAAAAAAAAAAAGAAAAGAAAGAAGAGATGGCTAAGAATTTCAAGGTGATGACACAGAGCCTGAGAAGTCAGTGCATGGCCCCTCCTCCTCCAAAGCGTGGGGCAGTGTGAGTGTCCTGGCTGCTTGCCCACGAGGTTCACTGCCTTCCACATGAGTGGAGTTGCTAGGTCAAGAAGCATGTG